TATGTTTATATTTGATTGTTTTTATTTGAGTTAAAGTATGTTTATATTTGATTGTTTTATATGTGGGTAGTTATATTTAGATTGGGGATGATGTTTATATAACCCTGTAATCAGTTCTGGGAAGTCTGGGGGGGGATTAGGGGTGGGGCTGGGAGGGAGGGTAGAAATAGAAACAAAATAATTAGGAGTTTTGATGTATGGTGAGAAATAGAAATGTGTATTAAATTAAGAGTATTGATGTATGGAATAATAGAGAATTTTGAATGCTCGGCTAGCACCTCCAAACTGTGTCCGAAGGGTGGGAGGAGGAGAGAGGAGAGGAGAGATAGGAGGGAAGTAGGTAGGTAGTAAGAAAGAGGGTGGATGCGGGGAGGGGGTGCTGCCAAGCTGACGCTCGGCTAGCGCCCCCAAAACCATGTCCGAAGGAGGAGGAGAGGGAAGGAGGTGGGATGTGTAGGGAGGTTGAAGGAGAGGAGAAAAGAGGGCGGACGCGGAGAGGGGGGCTGCCGAGCTGTTACTGAAGTTGTTATGTTAATGTATGCTTATATTTGTATTTGTATGGGGGGTATTTTAAAATTAATAAAAAAATTATATGTGAAAAAAAAAGTTAAGTATTTAGGAATCTATTTAACAGCAAGATGTATAACATTAAAAGAAGACAACTATGAAAGATTGTTGAAACAAATAAAATTGGACTTGGAAAAGTGGAAAAATCTTCAGTTGTCATTGTTGTGAAGAATAGCCACAGTGAAAATGAATATTTTACCAAAAGTACTCTTCCTATTTCAAACGATTCCTGTAAAATTGGGAAAGGTCTTTTTTGATGACTTAAATGCAACAATTTTGAGATTTATTTGGCAAGGGAAGAAAGCACGAATTAAAGTGAAAATGCTACAAGAAGCTAAAGATAGTGGAGGATTTGGACTCCTGGACTGGAGGCTATATTACCATGGCTTAAAGAATGGATAACGCTGAGAAATAAAAGACTATTGTACCTAGAGGGGCATGACCTACAAATTGGTTGGTATGCCTTCCTATGGTACGTGAAAAATAAAACACATAGATACTTTCAAAACCATTTTATAAGGAATGTACTTCTTCTAGAATGGAAAAGAATAAATCAGAAAATTTATATTAAACTACCTGAATGGCTTTCAACAATGGAAGCTTCTGCTTACCCAAATTTAATTAACTATGACAAAGTCGTTACTTATAAAGATATTTTGGACAATGAAGGAAAATGGAAAGACAGACAAGATTTACAACAACAAGGTATTGACTTAGCATGGTGGCCATATTTGCAAATCCAAATGAGATATGGAAAAGATGCAAAGACAACGGGATTTTATAAAGAACAAACAGAATTTGATCAAATATTGTTAAAAACAGACTATTTGCTAAGATCTTTTAATTGCCATTCATTGATTGCCATTTTTATTATATAAAAATATGTCATTAGTGCCTAAATTTTATTCAAGTATTCCATAAATGTCTGTAAGAAAACTTTTTTGGTACAAAATTTAGCTTTTAATATTGTGTTCTCAATATTTTGCTGTTACAGCAAGTACGGTCGAAATTGCACATATAATGCTTTGCAGAAAATCATTGTACAATTGTGTTAGCTCCAATTGTTCTCCAATGTTGACTTTAGTTTATGCACATGCATGCATATTCATGCCTTCTTACATAAGTTATATCTCTACAACCATAGTTTGAAAATGCTTTTATAATGTCAATCTTTTAAATTTGAAAAGCTATTCTATTTCTATTTCTATTTATTAAATTTATATACCGCCCTATCTCCCTTGTGGGACTCAGGGCGGTGAACAGGCGATACTAAAAACCACGATAATAAATAAATAGTTTGTTTTAAAATCGAATTAAATAAATAGCTGTCTCTATCTCATCCTTCCCAAATATAACACTAAAGATAAAGCTGAGATAAAGGTCCTCAGACTTTTACCGTATATTCCGGCATATAAGACGACTGGGCGTATAAGACGACCCCCAACTTTTCCAGTTAAAATATAGAGTTTGGGCTATACTCACCATATAAGACTACCCCTGTTCCAACGCACACCAAATAAAAATTAAAAAACATCAGATTTGATTTCAATATGGTAATTTTAATTCAAATGCTTATGACATGCAGGTACTTAGCAGGAAAACTGTCACTNTAAACATAAAACAGTGCAAGTGGATTAAACTTTTCCTAATTCATTCTAAAGCTGAAAGGAAGGATAAGACAATAAACCCATGGGAGCTGCCATGCTGTTTGTTTTCTAAGCCAGGGCTTTTCAACCTTTTCACCGATTGTACCACTTTTAGAATATGGCAACATTTGAGTACCACCAGTCACCCAGCAAGGTGTCAAAATCTTGATGACAAAAAAAAATGGAAAAAAGTGATAAAGTACAGGTAGTCCTCAACTTACAACAGTTTGCTTGGTGACTGTTCAAAGTTACAACGGCACTGGAAAAAGTGACTTATGACCATTTTTCACACTTATGACCACTGCAGCATCCCCAGGGTCATGTAATTTACATTTGGATGTTTGGCAACCGATTCTTATTTATGATGGTCACATTGTTCCAGGGTCATGTGATCATCTTTTGCAACCTTGTGACAAGCAAAGTTAGTGGGGAAACCAGATTCACTGAACAGCCATGTTACTAATTTAATCTCTCTCCTTCTTTCTCTCTCTCTCTCCCTCTCTTTCTTTCTCTCTCCCTTTCTCTTTCCCTCTCTCTCTTTCTCCCTCCCTTTCTCTCTCCCTTTCTCTCCCTGTCTCCCTTTCTTTTTCTCTCTCCCTGTCTCCCTTTCTCTCTCCCTCTCCCTCCTTTCTCTCTCTCTCCCTGTCTCCCTCTTTCTCTCTCCCTTTTTCCCTCTCCTCTTTCTCTCTCTCCCTCTCTCTATTTCTCTTTCCCTCTTTCTCTCCCTCTATTTCTCTCTCCCTCTCAAAGATCCTTAAAATCCTTAAAGGTTATGCTTGGGCGGAAGACTTTTTCTTTTACAGATGGGGCGGGTGGGCCTGACATTCGCACGCAGGCAGGACCCTGCCCGCCGAGCCACCGCTTCCCCATCGCCCTCCACGCCAGCCGGCTCCGCCTCCAGACCTGCTTTACTGCTTGCAAGCCCTTGCAACTGCTCCAGCCGAAGAAGCAAGCGGCTGGGAGGCCGCGGCGGCACCTACCTCCTGCGCCCGTCAGCTGGCGACCCCCGGACCTGCGCCCGTCAGCTGGAACATCAGGCAACGCTTTGGCCGGTGCGGAGGGTGAAGGGGAGGCCGCTGCAGCGCTGAACTGCGCCCGTCAGCTGGCGACCCCCGGACCTGCGCCCATCAGCTGGGAAGTCTGGAGATGGAGACGGCTGGCGTGGAGGGCAATGGGGAAGCGGTGGCTCGGCGGGCGGGGTCCTGCCTGTGTGCGAATGTCAGGCCCACCCGCCCCATCTATAAAAGAAAAAGTCTTCCGCCCAAGCATAACGCCAGCAGTTCTGTGCCACAGAGGCTTGAGACACGGAGGCGCGGGACGCGGAGCGGCGCGGTGCGGTGGGAGGCGGCAGGACAGGGGGAGGGGTTACCTGCATCCTGCCAGCTGAACTCTGGAAGCCTGCCTGAATACCCGTATTTTCCGGCGTATAAGACGACTGGGCGTATAAGACGACCCCTGACTTTTGAGAAGATTTTCAGGGTTTAGAAAGTCGTCTTATACGCCGGAAAATACGGTACTTTGATCAAAGCATCAGTATTGTATTTCACCCAGTCAGGAATCACCTGGTGGTACCTTGCTGTGAGTAAACAGTGCTAAACCTGTTTTCAGTTTAATTCACAAAGCCAATTTTAAATAAAATGAAATAAATATATCCTTCTTCCTTTGTCTTCCATGAACATTTATCTGTTCTCTTTCCCAGTTAAGCTTTTTAACTGTCTGCTTGGGGTGACCTTTCTTCTTCTTTCAGTTCTCTTTCCTTTCAGAATCATTATCACTTGAATTGAATGCTGATGTGTATGCATACATAAGACAAAGTAAATTATTGTATTTTGTATATGATCTGTATGGATAATTCAAGGTACACACACATTTATGCAAATGCAAATCAAGGATTTACATGTATTTCTGTTGCTTCATATAAAAGTAAAGAGTATTTACAAAGCTTGAATTTCCTATTTCTGTAGTAATTGTCATATTTGCTTTTCCCTTTTAATAGGATATTGAAGAAACAATGAATACGGCTTTAAATGAACTTCGGGAACTGGAACGCCAGAGTTCTGCAAAACATGCTCCAGATGTTGTCCTTGATACCTTAGAACAAATGAAGAATTCTCCCACCAACACCACCTCAACAGAATCTTTGAGTCCTCTTCACAATATCATTTTAAGAAATGCTGAGCCTCAGATTCGCCGTAGCACTAGTTCTTCCAGTGATACTATGAGTACCTTCAAGCCAATGGTGACACCAAGAATGGGCGTGCAGCTGAAACCACCTGCACTGAGACCAAAGCCAGTAGTTCTTCCAAAAACAAACCCAAGCATAGGCCCCTCTTCTTCTTCCCAAGGCCCAGCTGACAAGTCTTGCACAATGTAGAACCCAAGAAACCAAATGCGGAGTGAACTACCAAAAGAATGTATCCGTGATAGTTGTTTGAATTCCAGTATATTATTATATATTTAGGAAAGGAGAGATTCATTTTTTAAATGTTAAAGTCTCAAGCAATCTACTTTAGCATGGGTATTTAATAGAAGTTGGGTTCAATTTTTAAACTGGAGCATTTGATGTCTACATTTGCAATATATGCTTAATACAGTTAAAGACTCAGTGAGTACGTTTTTACAGCATGCTGAGCTTGATTAGATTGGGTTGGGGGGTGTAGTTTAGCATATTGCACAAACCCAGCCTATTTGGTTAGTTTATGATCCAGTGTATCACAGAAAGGCAGTAAATTACATGTGTTGTGTATGCCATTTTAAAGCAGCAGGAATACACACATTTACTTGAAATCTCCACACTGCACCTTTTCTGTTGAAAACACCACAGTCACTGTCAGCATCACACTAATTTAACAATGTATACGAGACTGTAGTTTAAGATTTCACAAGAATTATGGTATTTGAAATGAATATGTTAAGAAATAGGGCTTGTTTTTAGTGCTGCCTGGTTCCAGTTCATTTTTCAGAAGGTCTGAGGCTATGTCTTAACAATTACTAAGCAGCCTGTCAAAGTCAATGCAGAAAGGAGACTCACCTTGACATTGCCTTGTGTAGTAGCTATTCAGTATGCGTGTGACAGTCCTAGTGCAGCTCACTGACAGGATATGAGGAATTAAATTGCTTCTAGGAAACAGCAGTTTTTTAAACCAGTGAAAGTCTGTGGTCAGAATAACAATTGTGGTCTTCCTCTGGTTGATATCCAGTGGACACCTTCACCAGGCTGACCAGGAATACTGAGAATTGTGTTGAAGGACTCTGTATTGAAGAAAGCCATTCAGTGGGTTGTTTCTAATGCCTCCATTCAGGCCTATTGCAGTGCAATAAAACTAGACATTAGCTATTGAATCTTTCATATAACTCTTTCTTACCAATTCAGCTCAAAAACTGTTTACATTCCTAAGAGCCACTTGTCTGGACAAGTTTTAATTAATAATCTGTAGAAAAACATTCCAGGACAGCTGCAAACTAAATGAGTACATTGTTAATAGTTAAAAGCTGCTGCATCTTCAAGATTATGAAACACAGTACATACAGATAAATTGTGGATTTTTTTGTTAGTTTATTTAAATTGAATTATCTCTTTTTCAACTGGAATAGCTCCTTCAATTAAGGCAAGAGTTTATTCACAAGGCAAAACATGGTTTTCTACTGTTCCACAATCTGAATAAAATGTGTCAGAACTATTTTTTTCTAATTATGCATCTTTTTCATGTGTGAGTGAACTCTTTGAACTTGCATAGTGCTACATCATTAGGAACTTTTCTGTTATATGTGACCTGTCTCGACAACTCTTGCACAAACTGACACCAAGCCATGTCCTTTCTCTGAATGTTTTATAGCTTACCTTTGCACTCTAAAGGAGATTTTATTGTTTGTCATTAATTAAAAATAACAAAAAATTAAAAACACGGTCTAGGGAAATATGGGATAGGGGAAGAGTTAGTTTATATCCACTGACACATATAAAATTGAAACCAAATACTTATTTTCACATAGCTCTTGTCCCAATAGAAACTTGTAGTTCTTCCATTTGAACATTTTTCTCTTACATTATATGAAATTCCAAAATGTAGAAGACTAGCTAACACGTGAAAACACTTGTTATTGCATAACATTTGAAACGCATTGTTCCCTGCTACTAAGTGAAGTTGACTCATTTTGTTAAGTGATCATAAATGCTAAAACTCATGAAATTATGTTTAGCTAAGAAGTTCACAAAAGTTGCTCATTCCTAATGTATTGAAAATCAGCTGCTCAGTACTTATTTCTGATTTAAAGTAAAACTGTTAAGCGTTATATTTTGTAAAGCTTGCAGGCCTATTTTGGGAGGGACCAATTTTTGTGTGCCCCAGATGACATAATTAATAGCTATTTAGCAATTATTTTTAGAAATTAATGATATTCATTAATATGAGACAAAGAATTCACTTAGGCATATTCAGCTATGGTATGCTGAATTATATTTTTGGCCCTCAATGGACTGAAACAATAAAACTTTCATATTTATCAGTGGGGTCACCAAAATGAACTATGACATGTCTCTACCCTAGAAACTACACACTCAGTATTGAGGCTTCAGCTAATATAAAATTTGTGTAACATGACAGTGACCCGTGTAAAGTTGAGAATTGTTTGCTTAACTAGACCAAATCTGAGATCTGTGGGACAAACTTGAAAATGTCAGCTTTCTTTTAAGTGCATTCTAGCCTAGTGATTGTTGTTATGGCGTAACCAAGGAAAGGGCCTGTATCTTGAAAGTGCATAAGCTGTATGTCTGAATATAACTGTACTGGCTTCCATACTGCTTATATTAGAAATTGTTTAGTGGAGAAAAATATTAGGAACAGTGAGTTTAGTGAATGTTTCTAGTTAGAGCATTCACTTGAGTTAAAATGTATGTAGTTTGATGGTATGTTGTAGCTACTTCAAGTATAGTGAGTGGATATATAAAAGGAAACATGGATACAATTACAGGCATAGTGAAGCTAAAAGCCTCTGTACTAATCAAGTCAGTATTGTCCTTGACTGTCAAGTTAGATAGATTGCAGTGCTGGTAGCTTCCTGCTTGTTGACTGTTACCTAATTGTGTCAATGTACATCTGTAAGTATGTACATGTGGAAGTGCCTTTACATTTTTAGAGAAGCTGCTTTGGCTTAACTTCTTGTACTATTGCATTTTCATTTCCATGTTCTGTTGCTTTTGTTCTGCCGTGTTCCCACATTATTTCCATTGTGAAGGGGGAAAAAGGAAATAACAATTGCACAGTCCTGGAAGAAAAGAAGAAGAAAATGTATTGTTAAGCTGTTGTGACAATGCACTTTTATGTATAGTACTGTACATTTTGGCATGTACCATATACTTTGAAAATTGTTTCTCATAATGTAACTTTATAATAAATAAGGATAGTTCTGTCAGAGTATATTTTTGTTGAATGATATTTGTTAGTCATTTTTATACTTGGATGCCCTTTAAATCCTTTCTCCCTGTTCAGTAAATAAGAGCTGCTTGTCACCATTGGGACACATTTGTATTTTGTGCCCCATCAACTCCTAAATGGAAATTTCAGAGTAGCTTTAGAGTGTCAGATTCTTTACTTGAGAGTTTATTAGTTGACCAAGCAGCCAACATGTGACGGTGGTGCAGCATCAGATCTAATGCTTCTGAAGTGCACAGGCTGCTGCCAAAAGACTAGAGCTTTCCCTGCAAAATTTAAACTGAGGAAACACTTCTTAAAATTCCAATCCAAGTTAATGTGAGCCATGAATAGATATTTTACAAAGGTTGCCAAAACTGTGGGAAAACTACCCTTAAAATGTTATATATTAAAAATTTCTAGTAGACTAGAAGTTATTGCATATTCACAGACAGCTATTTCATAGCTGAAACACTACTTCAGCTATCTGCCAGACTTATCCATAATTATTCATTGCCTTGTGTTATTAACAATTACAAATATTTTATACCATTTCTTATTATCAATGGTTCTAAAGCAATTTACCATACCAAAACCAGACTGGAAATATTTTTTTAAGAAAGATATGGCCATAGGGATGAACTAGGAAATGCCAAATGAAAGTTGGAATTTAAAAAATGCTTGAAATACTTCAGCATTTGTACTGCTGCTTGTACAAGTAGGTCTTGAATTATGACCACAATTTTGTAATTTTGGTTGTAAGTTGCAATCTGTAACCCAGCCTGAACTGACTGAAAAAGGACCAGGTGATCCGCTTTATCCAGGGTCCTTTTCAGCTGTCATGAGCTGCATCTTCCCCCCACCCCATCAACACTGACTGGAACAGTCCCTAGAGAAAGGAAGAAAACCAACACAATACAGTGCCGACCACCCTCAATTCTCAAAGCCAGTCAGAAGGGTACCATGATTGATGGTATTGAACAGCTTTTGAGAGGTCAAGAAGAGCCAAGATGGATGCATCAGCTGCATCCTTTCCCTCCAGAAGTCATCCATGAGTGCAGTCAATGCCGTATCAGTCCCAAACCCTGGTCTGAACCCTGATTGAAAAGGGTGTGTATAACCCACCTTATCCATGGTCCTCTGCAGTTGCCATACAATTACTCTCCACAATCTTCCCTCCAAAAAGTTGGATACTGGACAAAAGGTACCTAGACTGCATTTAAATGAGTCCTTTTTGTGAAACCAGAAAGCTCCAAGGGAAAGAAAAAGTTGGGGTAGCCTTGAGCACTGACTTGGTGAAGAAAGGTTTTTTTCACTAGTTGAATGCAACTAAGGATTTGCAAATCTAGTTTGAGAATGGAATGTTCAGAAAACTGCTTGGGTAGAGCTGCCAACATATTGACAGTGTCTGGAGGCTGTTCAGATTTGGATGGGGTAGAAAGACTTCAGCTCAATAATGATGCCAAGTGGCTGTCACTTGGTTCCCTGGAGTCAGTTGTTACCATTGTTTGGCTTGGATGCACTTTACAGTTTATGACTAATGCACAACTTGGAATCTTTCTGGACTTGCAGCTACTACTCAAAGAGCAGATGACAGTTGTGGTCAGGAGGGCCTTTCAACAGGTGCCCCATTGAGACAGTTGCACCTTGCCCTCAATCAGAAGACCTTCTACACAACTTACTCATGTTCCAGTTTCCTCACAATGAAATTATTGCAATGTATTGTGCCTGGGGCTACTCTTGAAGACCACCCAGAAACTAAAGGTGGTTCAAAATGCAATACCAGGAGCATTATGAGTGCCTGTCACTGTGTCCATGTGTCACCATTGCTATGCAAGCTTCATTGGCTGTCAGTTTGCTTCTGAGTACAATTCAAAATGCTTGTTCTATCCCAGCCTATGGCCGTCCTTGTTAAAGGCACAAGGACAAAACCCCTGTTGAGAAAATAGGCTGGAGACTCAAAAGAAAACAAACCCCTTTTAATATGGGTAACAAACCTGTCAAATAGTCCAGAAACAAAAGCAGCAAAACACAATCCAA